GCTGCTTCATGACTGTAATTTTTGCTACTGTTATGAACTTTAATGTAAATGAGACCATGTTTTCTCACGATCTTAGGCTATCCCTGTGAAAGAGTCCTTTGACTCCCAGGTTGAGAACTGCCATTGGACCAGGAGTTGAGTAAAAGACCAGGGTGATCTTTCACCACTAGATGGCAGAGTAGCGGTGTGGAGCTTGCCCTTCTCATGCTGAACCCAGTTGACCTTAGCTTCAACCAGACCAAGGTCTACTCCTTTCCCCTTCATTTATCCACACTCTTCCAGTGTTACCTTCTTAGCCTATGAGACCTCTAGACTAGAGTTAAAGTGTTTTTTCCTTTTAGATGTCCAGGGAAGAACTTTTGGCTAATTGCTTGCCACTGCTGCTCCTACTGCCTACCACCTTTTTGACTACTGACCTTGACTGCTTCCAAGAACAGCTAGAATCTGTGCAGAGAAGTTTTAGATGTCATTCCTCCCAAGCTGGGGGCCAATGCTGAGAAAGATTTTTTCAAATGTGCCCATGTAACTGTTGGCATTTTTGGCGGCCTGGGGTTGGGGCTTGGTGTTAAGGTGAAGAATGCCCCATCCCCAGCATCTGGGAAATGATTTCACATTGAGACTGTCTCAGTGGACTGTGGATAGACTGTTGTTTTACTGCAGACTCTTAAAATGGCTTTTCCTTTCTGTGTGGAAGAGAGAATGATAGACATCTTAAAAGGTGAACTCTTAACTGAAATCAATACAGCAAAGGTATTATAATGCATAGTTACTTTCTTGTTTGCTCCTGTTAGATGACATGAATCATTGGAGGAGGGCAGGGCAGTGATTAAAGTACATCAAACTGCCTTCTGTCCTTCCAAATAGGAAAAGAGATGATCTTTCCTAGATGTAATCTACAGAACAACAAAATTTAAAAAGTCTTCATAGTACAGCCAGTGTTCTCAAGTCTCCCTTATTTGGGTTGAAGACATTGCTTCATTAAAACCCACGACCTAAAAGGTTATGTTTTTAGATGAATCCACTTTTGTTTGCTATACTAACAAGAGGAAGTAGATCCAGGGGTATGATTATATTTTGATGGGGGCTATGGCATCGGACCCTTTAGAATATGAGCCATCAGAGCCTGTGATAGCATCCATGGATCATGTGTTATGTGTCTACAAAGAGGTGGAGTAGTGGAGACTTGAGGGTTATTAGCAGATTAAATCAGATAATATGTATTTAATTTTGAGTTCAGAGCACTCAACCAATGTTGTTATTACTACAATATGTCTCATGAGTTCCAGATGCTGGAACTCTACAGACTTGGTTGTTGCTTTCAGGGACCTAAATTTTGGTAGAGACACAGTTAACTGAAAACAATAACTGGGTGTATAGTAAAGACTCTGCCATGAAAAAAATCAGGGTAGGGTGTTTGTTTGGAGAGCATGGAACAGAGGCGCACAAGCCAGTACTCTGACTAGGAGGACTTTCCAGGGATAGTGATGTTCTAGGGTGAGGCCTGAGTAAAGTGGGAGGGATGTGGAACGGAGGCATGGAGAGTTTCACACATGGAACACATGCCTGAAAATCCAGAACTGGGACCAAGCAGGACAAAGCACTCAAACACAGGTTAGTTGTTGGAGCATAGAATCTCTGTGGTCTCTGGATGGTGATGAGATTACAGGGTTGGCAATGAGGAGAGTGGAAAGTAGTGAGCTTCAGAGCTTCATCTTACCATTGTTTGAGGCTGGCACTGACTGCACTGAAGCAGAAAAACTGTTTGCCAGTTCCAGATCTGCAGATTGTTCACAGAGTGATGATAATGCAATCAACTTTTATTGAATTCTATAGCAAACTAAACATGCTGGTTAACACCTCAACACTGAATCATGCACCTCAATCAGAATGCTTTGCTTATTTACTTGCCATTTTTCCTTTTTTCTTTTTCTCAGAAGGGCCAACGTGATACCAAAGTTACTTGACAGTCTCCATGAATAGGCCTGCAGAGGATAAACAAAGACCCTTAGGAACAAGAGGTCACATTTGAGTATTTAGGGACCTCAGAATTGTTATGTGTTTGAGAAATAGTGAGCATACAGTAAATTAATGAGTCAATTTATCTCATCATCACATCTGCCCTACAGGAGATAGGCAATGTTAGTATATTGTTGTGAATTCTCTTGCATCTTCCTCCAGGACAAAACACAGAGAAAATTCTGTGCATATAGGGAACATTTCTTGGCCTTGAAGGGGATTATACCTCAATTTAGTAATACATGATAGAAACACTCCAATATTTTCTTAGAAGATTCAATACAGCCTTTTGGTGTCTGCAAACCATTATATATTTCAGTCAACTATTTCATGATCAATCATTCAGGCTGTTCTCAGTAACACTGAGAATGCTGTAACAAATGTACGTATTTATAAATATGGGTGGTCATAGTAGGTGCCAAAAGTGGACTGAGTTAGTCATATGCATGTATGTGAATTAATTCGCATTGTATTTTGTCAGATATTGTCTTATGTAGTGGTCTCAGAACTTGGAAGTGGAGGCAGGAGAATCAGTAGTTCAAAGTCATCCTTGGTTATATAGCATGTAAGAGGCTAGACTGTGTTATGGGAGACTGTCTCAAAACCCAAGAATAGAAAAAATATTTTGCCATATTATTTTCTAGAACTTAGCAGAAAACCACATTACCAGGATATAATAGTGCTTTTGACTATTGCTAATCAGCTAGGCAATAAACTCAACCACATGGCTATTTTAATTTTTGCTGCAGTAAGTGGAAGTGTATTATCTTTTGTTGGTTTCTAGTTTGTGTTCTTTTGTGTGTTCCCAGACAATGTAGTTTGCTCTTTTTTTCTACTAAGCTATTTACCTCTCAGAATAATTCTGTAGATTTTTATTTTAATCCTTTTCATATTGTACATGACTTGCTTCTCAATCCATCTTTTATGTTTCATTTTTCTATTCTCTCTGAGAAATAAGATGATTCCTCTGGGTTGGTTAAGGGTAGCTATAGGGTTATTGTATTAGATGGCACAGGAGTGAATATCTTCCTACTCTTCTCTAACATGGTTGTATATTCAGTTATTAATGTTAAAAACAATCTCTTATGGAAAAGATGTGAGAACAACTGCTTTTTATTGTTTGAGAATTTCCTGCATGAATACAATGTGTTTTGATCACAGAGACTGAGGCAGCTTTTATAGGACCTGCACAGGTCTACACCAGATGGGTTATTAAAACTAAAAGAAGTGTACACATACCCCCATCTCTAACCCAGAAGTTATCTCCAATTGATAGCCATGTGCAAATGAAATATTAGTTTTCTCCAAGGGGAGGTCTTACTGAGGAAACAGACCACACTTAGGGGTAGGCTGCATGCCCAACAATAGATGGCCAACATAAAATGAACTCAACATCTTTAGAGGCTCTTTGTCTTATAATAAGTCAGGACATTTTTTAAACCTTATAGGTCCTTTGTGTATATATTATGTCTCCCAGTTTTGTGTTTTTATGGGATTCTTGTGTGTGCCAATGTGTTTTTCTGTGTTTATATGTGTTTCTTGTGTTTTTCCTTTGGGTTTTTTTGGGGGAGGCAATTCAGCTGTTTTGTCATATTCCAATTTGTTTGTTTTTGTTTTGCCTTATTTTAATTATTCCTTAGATGCCCATTTTCTAATGAGAGACAGAAGTGTAGAATCAGATGGAAATGGAGGTGGGAAGGAACTGGGAGGATTAGGGGGAGGGGATACAGTACTAAGATTATACCCTATGAAATAAATCTATTTTTAATTGAAGAAAAAAGTAAAAGAGGTGTTGGTCCCATGATTTCTTTCTCATCTCTTTGTTGTTCGAATCTAGTAAGTCTACTGATTTTTGTATGTTAATTTTGCATTTTGCTACTATAAATTCTTTTTGATTCAAATGTTTATCAGTGCTAGAAGTTTCCTGGTAAAGGTTTCAGGGTCTTTTCTATATAAAATCGTATCATCTGCAAATAAAGATCCTTTGACTTCTTTCTTACTTATTTGTAGCCCTTTGTTCTCCTCAAGTTGTCTTATTGCTCTAGCTAAGACTTCAAGTACTATGTTGAATAAATATGGAAGAAGTGAACAGCCTTGTTTTGTTCCTGGTTTTAGTTGGAAATGCTTTGAGTTTCTCTTCATTTAAGTTAACATTGGCTATGGGCATGGTGTGATTGCCTTTATTATGTTGAAGTATGTCCCTGAATCCCTATTCTTTCCAGGACTTTTATTATGAAGGCATGTTGGATTTTGTCAAAGGCCTTTTCTACATCTAATGAGATGTGATGATCATGTAGGCTTTGTCTTTCTATTTCTGTTTATATAGTAGGCTACATTTATCAATTTACATATGTCAAATCATTCCTGCATCTTTGGAATGAAGCTTACTTGATCATGGTGGGTGATCTTTTTGATGTGTTCCTGGATTTGGTTTGCAAGTGTTTTATTGAGAATCTTTGTTCATAGGGGATATTGGTCTGTAATTTTCTTTCTTGCTTGGTTGTTGTGGTTTGGTATAAGAATAAATGGCTTTGTAAAATGAGTTAGGAAATGTTTTTTTCAGTTTCTACTTTGTACAACAATTTGAGGAGTATTGACATTAATTCTTCTTCAAAGTTCTGGTAGATTTCTGCACTGAATCCATATGGCCCTGGACTTTTATTGGTTAGGAGACTTTTAATTACTGCTTCTACTTTACTAGGGTTTGAGGTCTGTTTAAATTGCTTATTTGATCTTGATTTAACTTTTATAGGTTATATATCAAGAAATTCATTCCAGTTTGGGATACAGGTTTTGATTTTGTGTTTTGGAAGGGGTGGAGAATGAAATTGGGTGGGCAGGAAGATGGGAAGAAGGATCTCTGAGGAGTTGGGGAAGGGGAAAACATGATCAAAAGATATTCTATTTTTTTTTTAAATAAAAAGGAAGATTTAGGGTTAAGACACGATCTCTGAGGAGTTGGGGAAGGGGAAAACATGATCAAAAGATATTCTATGTTTTTTTTTTTAAATAAAAAGGAAGATTTAGGGTTAAGACACATGGTATGAGGCACTGAGGCAAACATGTAAGAGTGTCTGTAGCTGGGCATAAGATAACCAATCTAGACAGAATTGGAAAGACACGGCTCTGGGCAAGTGATGGCAGGCTGGATGGCATCTAAAGCCCTTGAGGAATCTATGCAATGCCTATTGTCTTTATATTTATCCTTGCTTGTAATGCAGCTAATTGTGACAGGCTAAATTGTAAGGTAAGTGATGGTGCCTTATAATATGACACCCCCACTTGCTTCAGGAAAGGGACTCCAGACCATCTTGTAGGCAAGGAGTTAACTAAGAACAAATGAAGATACATCTTGGTATCTACGAGAACAAAGAGCTTAGAATGTATATTAAGTAACACTGGAGACTCTGCGAAGGTCAGAGGATAGTTAACACTGGCTAAGTGGCCAACAGCTAGCAGACAGTCAAGGTCAATAACTGGCAAGACCCCTGTCAAAGATGGACAAATGATATATTAGTTATCCTTAACTGGGTGGGCAGTGCAGGACCAGTAGATGATCACCTCCCTAGTTGAGCCACAGGGACAGGCACAGAATGTTTGTGTCCTCCATTGCCTCAGTCCATGATAGCTCAGAGAATTTACTAATTTAATAGTAGAGGTTATTTCAGCTTTTGTCAGGTTTCTATCATGACCCTATAGAAACCTGACAAAAGAGTTTGGTAGCTGTTTCCTTTCTTGGTAACTCCTCCATTTCTAAGGTGTTGAGTTTGGATGGTCTGCAGTCCCTTTCTCAGGAACAAACCATGGCCTAGATGTGGCCCCATGACTGCAGGCATGAGGTAAAGCCTAGGAGGAATGTCTACCAAGCAAAACAAGGCTACAAGAGCAGAGAAATTCAAAAGAAAGAACTCATATTGGAGGCTGGTCAAAGATGTCTGCAGGGAAGAATATAAAGAATTCTGACAAGGGGGTCAAAGATACTGTTTGGTCAAGTTCTGCTTGCAGTACTATCTCTAGTAGCTAGCTAAACAATATGTAAAAATGGTGCACTGTTGAAGTGAGCCCAGAGTCTTGTGTCTCTGTCTACCATTCCCCTCCTTTCTACTCCCTCTGATGCCCATGGCTGTACTAGCTATGGCACTAAGGAGTTTCTTTCACTTAATTTCTCACTTTTCCTCAATGTCTCATGTTTTTGTAATTATTAAAAATGTGTGCTTTTGTTTTATATACTCCCATGGGTGTACATATTTAATTTTCATTGGTTTAAGACAACACAGTACACTGTCCCAGGTCAGTCATCAATGACCATGAGTGTTCACATCTTAGGTCCTTGTGATTCAGACAACTGAGATATTAATGGTCCCATTATACTAAAAACTATTCAATGACTCTATGAGCTGCTAAGAAAATTGTGTATCCTATAAGATTGAATACTATGTGTATAGCCATTAAATCCACTTGATCAATGGTGTACTTTAACTTAACTTTTTTCTTTGTATTTTTGGTTTTGGATGATCTTTCTAACTCTCAAGTGGAGTAGTGAAGTCATCCACTATTAGTGTATCAGGACCTATCTGGCTTTCTATGCCTACTAGTGTTTGTTTTATGAAATTGTAGGTTCCAACATTCAGTACATACAAATATGTTTATAAATGGTAGATCATCTCAAAATAATTATTTCATTTATTAGTATGAAATAGACCTCTTTATCACTTGTAATCTTGCTTTGAAGCCCACTTTATCAGATATAATAATAGATATGTCAGCTAATTAGCTTGATTCATTGCCATTTTTTATTCATTTGACCCTCTGCCTATGGATGTCTTTGTCAGTGAGATACATTTCTTGAAGTTAGCAGATAATTGGGCATTGCTCTTTATTATATTTTACATATTTTTATTGATTCTTAGGGAATTTCACATCATAAACCCCTCTTTGGAGGGAGGAGTTTCAGATATGCACCCTTCTTTAAGGCTGTCAACTTCGTGGGGAGGGGGTTTTGGGACTCAGGAGACCATGTACTGCAGCTGTGGGCTGCGTAGTAGGAGATTTTCAGAAACAGAACTGCTTGGAACACATGGATCGGACAGATCAACCTCCACACCAGGCTTCTGAAGGTCTTCACACACATCCAACTCCAAGGTTGAGTCACTGACTTTGTACTCACATCCTGACTCTTCCTTGTCGCTGGCAGCAGCCAGGCCGTCTCGTGGTTCAGCACGGCGGCCAGACCCTGCAGCTTACAGTGGAAACTCTGGATCGGGTTCATGCTGAGGGAAGTGGAGCCAAAGGCAGACCTTCACGCCCACCAAGAGATCTTTACTTTTCTGTCACTGTGAAGAGACAACATGACTAAATCATCTTACAAAGAAAGTATGTTATAGGGAGTTTGCATACTGCTTCAGAGGATTAGTCCACCACCATCATGGTGGGAAGGATGGCAGCAGCCAGGCATGGCACTGGAGCAGTAGCTGAGAATTACATCATGATTAACAAGTTGAGAGTAGAGAAAGAGAAACTGCCTGTTACAGCCTTTTGGAACCTCAAAGTCCACCCCCATGACACACCTCTCACAAGGCCACACCCCCTAATCCTTCCCAAAACAGTTCCGCCAACTAGAGACCAAGCATTCAAATATATGAGTCTATGGGGGGTATTCTCATTCAAATCATGACAGGGCACAAAGATTTATTTTGGCTTTCAATTCAGGACATACAGAAGGGAGGCATGCCTGAAAGACCATCCTCTCTGTGGCAGTAGGGGGCTGCTTGGTGATAATGGGACAGGTGAATACTCATTAAAGCCCATTGTTGTGAGAGTAGATGAAAGACTTATGGCAAGTTAAATTTTAACTCCTAAACAGACAAATGAGATTTCCAGTCTTTCCTTCTCCCTCTCTAAAGTTTATGATGAGCTGATATAATTAGTAGAGAAATAAATGGGATGTTTGCTTTCACTAAACTCTATAAGAACACGATGATAATGCTCTATGCTTATAACAGCATTTAATTTTGATCAACTAGGAGTCCATAAGCTCTCTACTCTCAGAAAGGGCAGCTTTTCGTCAGCTACTAAAAGCAGAGATTGCAAACACAAATGAGCACAGTGTCTCTTCTGATGTATTCTTATCACTAGAGCAGTCAATCTTGCTACATTCTGTGATTAATTTAGAATGCACTTTGCAATTAACTCAAAGACAGAAACTCCACTTAGAGTTAGAAGGTCAGCAGAGGCCATTTTTGGATGATATAACTGACATCAGAAGCCTTTAAAATGTGCCGGGAGAGAGTTCATCCCACATAGTAATTTTCAACTAAGTACACAATAGCTATTTTCTCTATTCTAAGATTCATTTCTGAGTAGTGGCTGACAGTGTTTGGGTGGAGGTTGGATTAAACCAATTCTACACAGGAACAAGTAGAGCTCACACCTTTATGTGTAGCCTATTACAGGAACCCAGAGAAGGGCATACAGACATTGTCTTTGGCTAGTTATACTCCACATGGAGTAATACATTTTGGCCCTTTCACTACCTACCATGATTTGCAGCCAAGTTTGCCTTTCTTTTGAAATGTGTGTGCTTGTGATAGCATAATTATATTACATTTTGTTTTCTGTTAAAGATGATATTTTGTATCTCTTCAGTACTCACATTTCACTTTTTGAAAGCTGTTTTGGGATTTCATTTTTTAAAAAAATGAAAAAAAAAATCAAGAAATAAAAGTAGCCTGAACCCCAGTAGAACTCTGAGATGCCATACTTGCAGTCTAAAACACACGAAGTTATTTTTAATCAGTGATCGAGAATATTAGCATATAAGGCAGTTACATAATTCAAATACAAATTAATTAGAGCCTGTTATCTTCCAGAGCTCTACTTTCCATGTTAACTCTCTTTCCTGCCTTTCCCTGGCTTTGTCTCTACGTTGCCTAAGTAACAATACCGATCCATGTAATGAGCCAGGCTGTGTAATTTCTACTCCCACCACATCAGGGTCACAGTGCTAAAATTTCCTCTGAACCTTCAAATTGTAGGATGCTAAATGCTCTTCATTGTTCAGATATCATTCCTGGTTCTTAATATTAGAAATGAAGACACTGAAGTCCAAAGACGTGAAGTAAGTTGCTCCCATCCACAGAGGGTATGACAGAGTCAATCTCAGAAAGCTGCCCTTCTTTCCTTCCTGTGTCAGCCTCCCCTACTCCCCTCCACTTTGCCCCTACTCTCCCCTCCATTCCACCCATGATCTCCTCTCCATTCCACCCATACTCTCCCCTCCACTCTGCCCCTCTCTCCCTTCCATTCTGCATCCCTTCTCTTCTGTGTACTTCATTCACAAGTTCTGTTTTTTTCTTTCCTCACCATGTGTAAACAGTGATGCCTATAAGACATTTATTCAACTTCTTATAAAGACGTTCCAAACTATAGGTACTCAAGAGGACTTCCTGAATAGAACCTTCCTTGTCCATGAATTGAGGCCACCAATTGACAAACTGGACCTCTTAAAACTAAAAAGCTTCTGATATGCAGAGGGAAGAAGAAGTCCACAGAGTGAGAGAGAATATTTGTCAGCCATACAATTGGCAGAGGATTAATGTTCACAATATATAAAGAACTCAAAAATATGACCCATTCAGAAAACAGGCCTTGGATCTGAACAGATAGTTCTAAGAAGAAGAAATAAAAATGGCTAAGAATTACCTCAAAAGTCCATGATTCCTTGCAATGAGGGAAATGCAAATCAGAACAAGTTTGAGATTTTAGCTTTCCCCAGTCAGAATGGCAAAGACCAACAAAACAACTGACAATATATGCTGGAGTGATGTGGGAAAACAGAACCCTCATTCATTCAGAATGCAAACTGGTTCTGCCATTCTGGAAATCAATGCAGAGAACCCTCAAAAAGCTAAAAATACCATATGATCACTCCTTGGCAAGTGACCAGACTGTTCCACATCCTGCTTTACAGGATGCTCAACCATGTTCATTGCCACTCTGTTCACAAGAGCTAGGATATGGAAACAAGTTAAATGTATTTCAGTATACGTAAGGATAAAAAATGGGGGCACACATGCATTATGGAATACAAATCAGCTGTAAAAATTGATGTGAAAGGCAAGTCCCCAGTACTGAAGACACCATGCACTTCAGGCAGGGCCAAAAAAGATAGAAGGTAGATCTGACATGAAAGCCTCCTTTTCGGGGACTAGCTTCCATGGTACTAGAAGGTGAAATACAAACTTTCAAGGAGGGAAGCAACCAATAGTCTTACCCAGCCGTGAAGTCTATGAACCCCAACAAGGACCAGCATGTCATGATAATCCTAAGGGTTCAATGCATGCCTTGGTGGTAACCAACAGCTTACCAACTGGACCTAAGGTCCACTCAACAAGGAGGAAAACATGTCTGGTACTGGAAACCTAGCCAGCCACCTGGGGCTCGTGAAGTCATGAATCTTGAAGATAAACCTATAACCACCACTTAACTAAGCCATAACCACATTCTAAATATTTATTTTTATATCTGCAGGTAAATGCAGCCTATACCCCTCGTGAAGAAAACCCCCCTTTGCAACAGAAAACCATGACCGATCAAAATGCAGAGAACAAACGATGATGAGGAACCCAGTCCCAGATGATACTTCTACAACACTACAGCTCCTGCACCTATGACTAAGGGATCACTGTAAGATTGTAAAATCCAGAAGAAGTAGTTGTCTGTGAGACTATGTCTCCTGGAAATATCACTGCCTAAGCAAGTCCTGAACAGTGACAGCAGCAACAGACATGCTAACATGGAAATAAGGGGAGTTCATGGGGTCTCAACCCTAGACAACGAACTATAAGCAACAGGAGAATGCTGAGAATGTGAGAAATATATCTTCTACAATGGAGAGACCCACAACTAGCTCTCTAATACCAAGTGATCAGCCCTGAGTTCATATATACACAGGTAACATTATATATACTGAGCAGGTTATAGTTAAGAGTCTCTCTCTCTCTCTCTCTCTCTGTGTGTGTGTGTGTGTGTGTGTGTGTGTAAAACAATAATTAAATTTGAGATAGAACAAGGGGGATTGCATGGGAAGAGTTGGAGGGAAGAAAGGGAATTTCAAAAATAAAAATTATTATAAAAACATAGCATACACACAAAAACATCTATGTTTATTCTTTGACTTTCAAAAGGGATTTATACCCCATACATGGTGGCTCCTGACTAGAGTCTAAACTGGACCAGACCCCACTTAATACATCCTTTTGAAGTGATTCTGAAATTAGTTTAAATTAAACAGAGAACTAAATATTGTCTTTCCTATAGCTTCATTCTGAGTAACATGACATGGTTATGTGGCTTCCAATCTATTCTATCTTCCCAGCTTTTGTATAATTAACAAATCATTTAATTTCTCTATGGCACAATTTACTCAGCCATAAGATGAAGACAATAATATCTCCTATCTGATAGACTTATAGTAAGGAAGAAATAAGCTACTACATACACAGCATTTAGGATAGTGGCTGGCACACAACTTATATGGTTATTTTTATAGTGTAAACCAGATTTTCTTAAGACATCAGTGTCAGAAATATATTTAATTATGTTGTACTGATGTCACCGATATGTATTATATACAAGCAAAAATAGAAGCTAAAGTTTATGAAATAATTTCAGATACCAAAAGGCTTTCATATCTCCACTAACTCAGACACCATTGACCTAATTTGTTTTTTGCCCTCTATTTTGTGTTTTGTCTCCTACTGTATTTCCCAGTCTACTATCAACTGTCAAATGACAACTTCTTTCCATGTATCACAGCAATTCGTCATGTACTAATATGTCAACTTTTATCAACTTCAGTGGCCTGAAGTGCTGATAAGCCCACAACATGCATCTTTTGTAATTAAGAATCTTTCATCACCACAAACCACTGGAATCATCCTCTAAGGATCTGTTATAGGCTGGAACAAATTACATTTTATGTTCAGTGGCTAGGATTTTTCTTTTCACTTGTTTGACTCTGAAGATAAATAGCTTTTTCAGAATCTTTGTTTGTTATAGTGTTTGGTTTGCAGATGGAAATGCATCAAGGAATTTTTATATTTTTGAGTTTGTCATTTGAGGATATACACATGGACATAGTTATCACAGGGAACCAGTGGCATTCCAGGAAGGGCTGAGTTATTCTGTATGTCAGAGTCTCCAATATGCTGCAGATGTGTAAACTGAAGGTTATCTTTGGGTTGATCTTTCATGCTTCTTGTGCTCTTTTTCTCAATTTTTTTATGCAGTTATGAAAGTAGTTGAGGAATCTCCAAGATGATAAGCTACTGTGAACACTCAAATTCATTTTTAACTAAAGTATTGAAGTATTAATCACTTCTTTTCATTGTGGAGACAAAAGTGCTCATCAAGTTAAGATAAAATGCATGTTATGATAAGCATAATTTATCATTGGAATCTAGAACCAGTTGTTTCACAACTTGTATTAACCAGGACTTTTTTTAAAAAAGAAATTATTAGATACATATTGGGACAATTCTAGGATTATTCTAGAGTTCACTTATTGTTTCATAATAAAATTCTGCCACATGTTGCTATAAAGATAAGTGTGAAAAGCATAAAGGTGGGTTGTTTCTGAGAATTACTTGGGAACAGTTGTTGAGGAAATCAAATTCAGGTGTGATGACTTTCGATTGAGAAATTTTAGCAAGTCTACTTAAGGGTTAGTGGAGAAAAGAAAAGAAATTGCCCCACCTCTAGAGTTGTTCCCTACAAGTATGGTCACTAGGAGGATGTCAGAGGACTAGCCACTTCAGGTTGTCATATCTCAAACCTGGGACAAAGGGCTAATGAATCAGCTAATGCTAATCAGCATCCCCCAGTCTCTACCTTTTTGGGGTGCTCCTGGCTGACATATGGTGCCCCCTACCCTGAATTCTCCAGTCCAGGGCCTGGGCTGCCCTTCCCACAGCCACTCTTCCCTATATGTCTCAGTCTGGTCATGGTCACTATGGACTCGACCAGATGTCTCTGCCTCTGGCTATGCTCTCCCTCATATCTACGATAAACCTCCTCCACAATACCTAGGAGCAGTCATGTCCTCATTTTCATTTTTTCTTTCATTCACAGGTCTTATCTTTGAAGAGTCCCCAAGTGTTAGCTGTTTGGTGCTAGGCTTGCCCAAGCAAGCAGGATTAAACCCTACCATAGTTGCTGATATTGGCTCAGAGCTACATTTTCCATTAAGTTTCTGAACTATTAACAATTATAGAGCCTGTTATTATATATTCATAATTCATTATCCATGCTGAGTCAATCTGGTTAGAGAACAATAGCATTAGAATAGGTTTCACGTTCAAGGCTAATGTGTGATGATGGTTAATTTTATGTCAGTTTGGCCAAGTATGGATCCAGGGTTTTGGCCAAGAGTGGCTCCAGGAGCATTTTTATATCCTATTATTATTAAAATAGGAAAGCTGGAGTCAAGCAGATCATCTTTCATGAGGCCCCTTCCTAGCAGCTAATGGCCTTAAAAGACAGATCCCCTGAGGAAGAAAACAGTCTTCAAATGGTCTTCAGATTCAAGACTGAAAAGAAATATTGACTTTCCCTTGGATCTCTAGCCTACTGGACTGCACATTTTAGGGCTCTTAGTCCTTATAGCTATATGAGCCAATTTCTTTCTTTTATTTCTCCAGAGATCTCTAGGTAAAACAGTACATGAAATTAACTAGTTATGACTATCCATGATCACATGTTCCTCCACCTTATGGTGAAATGTTATCATTCACTGGCCACCCACTCTGCTTTTCTTCAAGAAACACTGTCGATCTCTGCTTCCCAATGTCCCTGCATGTGAGAAGTAGCCTCATGGCCCCACTTCCATATCCAGCTATTCTGGCTCCTATGTCTTGCCCATCATGGTAGCATATCCTCTGATGACAAGCCCACATAATTCCTTCCTCCATTAAGTTGCTTCTGGTCAGGTCTTTAGATCTAAGGCTGAGCAACAGAGTCAACTGATGAGTGAAAATAGAAGGTATGGAGGAATGGTGGAGAAAATGCTCAGCATTACTGGAAGGTTTGGGGAGCCGCACACTGGGTAGCATACATTACTGCAGAAACCAGGGTTCCCTTCCATAGGTTCCTAGTCTCACTAATAAAAGAACTGAGTAGACAAACTTGAAAGGAAGCTTGATGACTATTTCCTTTGAGAGAAAAAACAGCATGCAAAGAAACTTGTAAATCTCCACAACTTCCTGGAGGAGGGGGATGGAGAGGAGGAGGAAAGAAAAGCATGCTGTTGATAAGCAGCCACGTGGGAGAGGGAGAACAGCTTCCTAAAAAAAAAAAAGTAGAAATGGCCAGGTTATCAGGAAAGACATGGCCCATGGCCTAGTTCTGGGGGTAAAAAAAAAGCAATGCTTTTCTGGGTAGGCTGCAGCAATTGCTTGGGGGAGGGCTTTCTGGGAAGGAAAGTGTATTATCTCACTGAGGAGGTAACTATTCCTCCCATCTCTTTAGCATGGCTTTAGGTGAATAAGTCTTCCTGAGGGTTCCTCTCATGACTAAGTATTGGAGAAGCCAAGCTAAATTAACTCTAAAGAGAGGAGACTGAAGTATATAACATTCTGATCTTGGGTGTGCATCAGAATGATAAAATATCTCTTACCTTACCCAGGGTCAGAGGTCAATTTGACTCTTTTGATCAGGATGAAATAATATTCCATTGATAAGTCTTAGTGAAGCCTGATATCTATCTTGAGTGGCTTCCAAGTCTATGGCAACAAAGTATGTTATATACTTGCATAAAAATAGCCTTATGAAACCAGCATATGCAAATAAACATATGCTAATTTAAAAATGTTATTAAAAATGAAAATTGGTACTTGGAAGTAGGGATAGTGTTGTGATCAGCCTTGAAATCCAGGTTATAGACTTTTAGGAGGGATGTAGTAGAGTTTGGAGCAGCAGACAGGAACAACTCTAGAACACTGAGAGTAGAGTTCTTTGCTTGTTTATCTGTTGAGACAGGGTCTCACTATGTGTCTTGACTGTCCTGGAACTTACTATATAGAAGGTTGTCCTTGAACTCACAGAGGTAAGCTCACCTCTGCCTCCTGAGTTCTAGGATTAGAGTTGTTAGCCATACTCAGTTGTAAGGGGAGCTCAATGGGATATTCCCATGGGAATGTTGAAGATCAGAAGACATACAGAGATGTGGATAGTGAAGCCAAGCTCATGAGAGTTCTGAGGAGAAAAAGAACTCTTTCAGGAATTATACTAGAAGCCATTTGTGTTATATTCAGGTAAAGAAACTGGCTACATCTCTATCCATGACTTAATACTTTGAGTGAGGCTGAATTCAAAAGCAATGGAATTTGACATTATTAAAACTGTGGTCAGTTTCAAAGCAGGACTAAATGTATTTTGCATTGTAACAGAGTTATGAGTAGGTGGGAGTCAGGGGCAGAATGCTGATTTGAAGGTAAAATACTCCTTACAGGCTCATGTCCGGAACCTTTGGACCCCAGTTCTGGTGGGTAGGGAGACACCGTAACCACGCCTCCTAAGGGCTGGCTACTGGTGTGCCCGACCACACCCACTAGGGTGTTGTCAAGGTGATGTCAGGGTGACACTGGTGTGCCCGACCACACCCACTAGGGTGTTGTCAAGGTGATGTCAGGGTGACGTGAGAAAGTTTTAAAGGGATAGCCAAGGCACAAGGTAACTCTCTTTTCTCTGTTGCTTCAGCTTGCTCTGGTTTCCTGTTGGTTGGCATTTACTTATTAACGATATCCTGACCATTACGGGCTACATATTAGTTATTCACTGTAATACTGGTGGTGCTGTTTTTTGTCTGTAGAACCTTGAGAAGGTGGAGATTCACTGAAGAAAGTGGGTCGTCAGGGCTGAAGTCTGAGATTTTATGGCTAGGCTGTGGTTAAGAA